TTAAAAGATTCTTCCGATTTCGTCAAACATTTCCGTTCTCTCTTAAAATAACAATTATGTACCGTCACCATAATAACACGCGTTCACAAAAACCAATAAATTGATCTTCTGTCATCGTTATTGATATACCTAAGTTATTTTGAGTGTTATAATTTTTATTAAAATTAAGACTTTTAAGTTTATTATTAGTGCTTTTTCATATACAAAAATTTACATTCCAATGATCGTCAACATTTAACTCAAAGTAATATAATTAGTGTTTGAACATTTCATGAAATATAAGACTGTAAAATATTTCAGTATTTTAAAAAAAATTGTTTTTCTTTTATATAAGTTTAATTTTTATGTATATTTCACATTTTTTAGGTAGAACAAATTAATAAGACCCGTTAGTCATTAATTTTATTTTATTTTGTCTTATTTTTAATTTTTAAAGTTTATTATTAGTTAAATTTTGTTAGTCAAAAACCTATTTAAATACAGTAAGATTTAACACTATGAAATTTTAGTGTGTTAAGTTTCAAAAACAATAAGGGTTGATAAATAATTAATGTAAATAATAGGTACTTACTAAATATACCTACCATATAGGTAGTAGGTAACTACTCTATTTTTCCATAAATAATTATTACATTAAATATCTAGATATCTAATCACCATATATGACCATGGTTAAAGTGTAAAGTGACGTTAAAAAGGTTTTAAATTCACGGATAAATTATAATTTTAAACCTATATTTTACTACCTAGTAGGTAATTAAAATCTACAACTAGTAATAAGAAAGTGAATATCCATGGATTTAAAACCGTTTTTAAGTTACCTTGTAATAAAATCATAAAATAAAACTAAAATTTATACCACATACTTGTATCAGTTGAATATTATAAAGTCAGAAAATTTAATCAGTTGCCCCACCCTTTCAAAAGTTGAAATGACGCTCTTGCGAAACACCTCATCGATGATAAATGTAAGTGTAAAAACTATTTTAGATCGAAAAATTGTCAATTTGATTTTGTTTTATCTGCCATAGCAAAATATATGTTTAAGACTCAAACGACTACAGTTAAGTTCCCTATCACCCCAAAGGAAAAACTTAGTCACTTTTAGGTATTTATTTCAATATTTATTAGTCAAAATCTAAACAGGTAGATTGGTTTGACTAATTAATTTTGTTGTTCTACTATACAAAGTTTTTTCAATTAACATTACTTTTGTAATGGGGGGGATCGACAAAAGGTATTTAAAAAAAAAAAAAAATTAAATTCGATTAATTTTTATTAGTCCCTCTCCGGGAACGACCAGACGTCTAAACATCTATCTGACAACTACTTTTACAAAACGGGTCGTTCGACCGCACACGCACATACACAATTTTATTGGTTCGAATCGTGTCTATAAGAACGATCGTCAAATCCTCAGCTATACAAAAAATAACTAATTCTACACTTATAACATAATATAATGTCATTAAAATCTTTATGACTACGATAATATGAGCATAATTCGAGTTTAGCGACCTATCGATTTATTTTTTTTAAAAATGTGTTTTTGCATTCTTTGTAAGAATGTAAAAAAAAAAGGTTGGACAAACTTCGTTTTGAAGTTATCGATGAAAAACTTCAAAATGTGTGATTTTTAACGCTCAATATATTTTAATTTAAATGTTCACATATTCAAATTTCTTTTGTCCCTCTTACCTACTTGAGCTAGTTTTACATAACAAGTCGAAGGATATTATCGATTTGCAGACCAGAGCAATGACGCTGAAGATCATAGTGACGAGTACCCATACACGTGTAATCCCTATCCAAGTAAAAACAATAAAACAAAATTTAGATTAACTTAATAATAATTGTTATTTTTCTAGATATACGTGCAAAAACTTAAAAATTAAGTAGGATAGATAAGTTTTGATTTTACTAATTTACTAAGCATTTTGAAAAGAAAAAAATTGAAAATATTTAATTGTGCGGAAAAACAGTACTTTTTGAAGTTTTTAACGATAACTTTAAAATGATTTCGTCCAACCTTTTTTTTTTTTGCATTTTTACAAAGCATGCAAAAACACGTTTAAAAAAATAATCAAAAAAATCGATAGGTTACTAAACTAAAATTGTTCTGTAAAATGATTTAAAAATATTAATATGGTTATCTGTAGTACCTACTAAATTTGAAGCATCTGAATATACTTCATTATTTTAGGTAAAAAAAAGACTCATCATAAAATTAAAAAAATTATACGATATTTATGACCTTCCACCCCCCAAATACAACCCTAGAGCCGCCATTGGGTATAACTGATAATTTTCATTCAAACCTTTATTGCTTTATTATTAAATATTGATAAAATAACTAATAAATATTTTAAAACTTTGTAATTTTAATACAACCTTATATACAAGCTTTAATCATTCTATATATCCTTGGTACAACTTAAACTTACTACTAAGATTAGAATCTAAAAAAAAAAGCATTGTAGAACCTTCTTATTTTATGCTATTATAAAACATTAACAAAATGTTTAGCTGAAATAATTTCTTTTGTAATAATTTGAAATTTGAACTTAAACACTCAGGTAATTGTTTTCATTCATAAAAACCATTGTATTATCTATTTATACAAAAATGTTGCTCGTTGTTCACATTATATATGCCTAAAGCCTAATATAGAAATAAAGTTAATTTAATAAATAAAAAATATCCACTCATAAATTATAATTATTTTTAAGTAAAATTTGTAATAGGTATTTTGGATCGTTTTCTACAACCTTATTTGAATAAAATAACTCAACAATATTGTAAAAATGTATTACCTATGGAAATTGAGCAATCGATACAGAACTTTGTCCTAATAACTTATACAAAATTATAATTACATGATTTTTTATGTATACTCTCTATGAGTATATTATTCCCTAAATGTATATCTAGTGATAGAAGAAAAACACTTAAACTGTATCTTAAGCTTTTTTTTTTTACTAATCTGTCATCCTATATCAATGTGCTCATTTTATACATAGATACTTAAACATTTGCAAATTTCAATATACTAAATTAAAATAAAATAAGAATTGATTATGTATACTGTACATTTTTATCGCTCATAAAGGGAACCAAAATGTATTAAATCATATATGTATGAAGAGTAGGTTAAATCAATATTGAAATAAATTATTTTATTTTGATGATCTATTATCATAATTTATGCGACTAATAAGATAAATTTAACTTTTTAATTGTATAATAAAAAAACAATAATCAGTGATCCACATGTCTTATATTTAATTGGTGTTATTTTTAATTAATTTAATAAAGTGGTACCCAAGTAAGCAATTTTCAAAGCTACTTTTATGATTATTATGACCTACATTTTTTTAAATGTATAAATAATTAATATCATATTATACTTTCAAGTTTCTTCAACTTAATATTTAATTACAAATTGTATAAAAACAATACTTCATATGAAAAAGTAAATAAAAAATTGAGCTAAAATAACTATAAAGTAATACTAGATAAGGAATAATACATCATACATTTCCAACCTAAAATCCCAAATTTCTATCTTTTTCAAAAAAAAAAAGATAGGAAGAAAAAAAATATATAATTAATACCAATACAAAATAAATAGACTGAATAAAAATAAAAGTACCAACATGTTTTGAAAAAAATAATAAATAGATAAAATATTCATGATTATCAATTTGTATGTATAATGAAAATAGAAAGCATTTAATTTTTATTAATATAATATAATTTGAGATAAGTTATATGTATTTTAACTTAGATTAATTTCAATAAAATATATTATCCTATCTAGGTTTAAGATATTAATCGAGAAATGAACATACAAATATTGTCTAATGTGAATATAAAATTGTGCATATCATCTTCAAAAGTTATGCTCACTTTTAAATTTTGTTCACATTAAAACTATGCTGTACTGTTTATTTGTACCATTATCATAAGTCAAATAATCTTAAAATCAAATTATACATTATTTTGTCTATAATAAAATAGGTACAAAATAAATGTTTACATCTAAGGTTAAAATAACATATAATATTACAATAATAAATTTCATTATTATGCTATGGTATTTCAAAAACAATCAGCTTTATAACATTTACATGGATAGGTAAATATTATATACAGTCACTGGTAAGACATAAATATAAAATTTGAATACTACACAACACTAACCTTAACTATATAGTGGAAAAATCATATACTATTTTAGACAATTCACATTAAACGAATATTGAAAACTGACATAATTTAAGCACCATACTTGATGGTTATTTTGACATTTCACTTTGACCAATTTTCTAGGGACCAATGAACTAATAATATGGTTACAATTGATAAAAATTATAAATATTTAATTATATTTTTTTACTATATTAAGTACCATTTGCATTGCATAATGATAACCATTTGTGAGATACAAAATAATAAAGAATAAAAGTTCATCATTAAAATATATCTTATCACATTGTATAGTAAACCTGTGTACCATGTATAAACACAATATTTAATTTAGTAGGAAATATTTTTAAATATTAATTACTAAGTGTCTTCAATTCACACAATGTATGATTTATGAATTGATAAATGTTCAAGTCAAATACAATTATTGCTAAGTAAAATTCAAGAACAAATTTGTGACTGGAAATTGTATTTAAAATATATAAAATATTTTCCACCAATACTAAAAAAAAAAAAAAAACTGTTATTTTATAACAAATGATTTGGTAAGTTATATTATTTTTTCAAATAAAAATTTTACAACATGATTTCATATCCAAATATAAATGTAACTATTAATGGACCTAAATTCAATTCAAATAAAAAATAATACAACTTATTTTTTTAAATTTTTTAATTAAAAATGAAATTAAAGTAAAATTTAAAAAAAAATATATAATAAATTTAGGTACTTATAAAAAATAAGAAAATAAATTATACATGTAATTCAGTTGTTTGATTTGACAAAATGATTTGTATGAAAAAAATAAAACTATAATACTTATTGACAAGTAAATTTAGTTGTACATATAGCTTATGATGATAAGAAGGCAAAACATAGGCTCTTCAAAAAAATGTACGAAATTGATATTGAAACATGGAATAGTCATACAAAAAAAAAAATAATAATAATTAATTATTGATTTTTTTTTTTTTACAATTTATGTCACGGATCACGTAGATTTCACTTTTTTAAACACACTATCCCAAAGAGATACCCATCCTTCTTGTACATTTTTAGCATATTGCTGTACAGTTGGATTTGCTTTAACCCACTTATACGATTTTATAGCTGCTTCAATACTGGTTTGAATGGCCAAATCGAATGAAGTTCCAGCTTGCAGTAAATAATAGTTGACCTTAGAAGCCACTTGTGGATCTAGATTTGCAGTAGCTGAAGTCCAAATAGGCAATATCTTAGCTTTAACATTACCATATGCTTTTTTGTCATAATATGACAATGCATATACAGATAGACCACTCAACACAGCAATCAAAAGTGTGTATGAAATGAGCATACCAAAGAATCCAAAAACTAAAAAAATAAATTACTCAGTAATAGGTAAATGAAATTAATTAAATTAATAGAAATTGAATGAAAAATACCAGTGGATATGAAACCTGCAGGCTTCTTTTTGGGTTTGGTTTTATTTTTTGATTTGTCATTTTGTACACCATTCGGTGTAGATTTGACATTTTTCTTATCCTTCTTTTTGTTTTGTTTATCATCTGCAAAAAATATATTGTTAATCAATGTATACACATTTATGTTATTTTTAAAAGTAAAATACCAACAAACAATTACCTTGCTTTTTTGAATCACCCTTTAAGTATTGGATTACATTGACAGCAGTGGACTGTGCATTATTTAGTGAACCAATAGCTTCAGCCAATTCTGATTTCAACGGATTGTTACTCAAGTTCAAGTGTTTCAACTGTTTGAGTTTACTTAAGCCCTTGGGTAAATCTTTGATTTTGTTGTTGGCCAACGAGAGGTGAGCAAGTTTTTGCAATGAACCAATATCTCCTGCAATACTCTTTAGGTTGTTATTGGATAGATCAAGTTTTACCAAACTGGGCAATTGTGAAAAAACATTCTGGAAATCAACAAGAAAAGTTAATGTAGAAAAAAAATATATTCAAACACGACAGCGAATGAAAACTTACGTCGGTCGAAGAGATTTTGTTGTTGGATAAGTCTAGGTGAGAGACTTTCAATGGAACCTAAGAAAAAATGACACAACGGTTATTATAACTACGATAAACAGTCCACACAATATGCAATATGTTAACTGGTCGAAGGACCACAGGTTAGCAGCAGCTGGACCGACGCCGTAACGTCGGTAGGTACGTGGAGCAGATGGCCCGACTACTTACGATTTCCTTAACGGGTATCTCCGTGAGGTTCAGACCACTCAGGTTCAGTTTGTTGTTCTTCACCTTGTCCTTAAGGTTGAGCACCGTCATGTCGCGACTGAGTCTAGGTCGTCGGTTTGTACAGAGGATGGCAACACTCGCAGCGTGTGCGTGTAACGTGCGGTGCGGTAAGGTATGCGGCAACGGTTATGGGACTAGTTGACAATGATTTTCCACAAAAAACGTCGATGATCGTCGTGTACGTTAGGCAACGTTGGCAGCTGCTAACGGTGGTAAGACGGAGAGCGAAGAGAAACCGTACACGTGTGGACAGCTGCAGGCGAGATGAAGACACGTCCCACGGTGCAGAAAGCTAAAAAGTGGCGAATGGAAATCAAATTGTAAACACTCACCAAGTTTCCGATACACGTATATCAGTGTTGGTTTGACACGTGTCAAGAGTGCCAACATATCGCGTTCCTACCGGTACGTTACCGGTGGTGACTCGTGTTATTCAGTTGGTACGATAATAACGTTTATTTCCCGCCATCACCAGAAAAAAATTAAAAATTAAATTATTTTAATACAATCATTATCGTTATTATTAATTTAATCATATAAAAAAATTTCATTTTTCAGTTTGATTTTTTCCCCGTTATTTATTGTCGGGAGACGCGCGCAAATTTTACCACTGGAATCAATGATACACCTCACCGGGGAAGTGTAAAGACGATAATTCAGTAATACACCGCCGCCGTTCATGACGTGAACAACGATCACAATTTTTGTTCATAACGGGATTTTTGTGTAATTCCCATAACCCAATATCTTTGATGCTGCGTTTCTCGACTGAGAGAAATGCCGCCATGTACTCAAATTATTATTATTATTTTTTTGTAAATAACGTATTTTGTACTTTTTAATATCATAACGACTTGTATGTTTTAATTATGTATATGTTATAATAATGTTTTTTATATTATGTCTTTTTATCTGACAGCTATCGAAAATGCAATGATATGATTAATATGGTTACATTTATTTTTTACAATACATGTACTATTATAGTTTTACCATAGATATTTTAAAGAATTACTGATGGTAATAATATTATAATTGTATTTTGAGGGTTTCAGTAAAAAATGTATTATAAGCTATAGGTAACAAAAACAATAACAAATGACACACGGCAATTGGTATTGAAGTATTAAGTTCACTTATAGACATTTGCCTGCTTGTTAATTTGTTACTATTGTTATATTATATCTACCTGTTTATTTAATTTTTCTAATGGAGTAGTTCTTAACTTTTTATGTTCATGCAAGGCCGTAACTGGGGGGGTCCAGGGGTCCGGACCCCCCGAAATTTTCAAAAGTAGAAACATTTTAGCAGTGAAGTTTATTAACTATAAATTTTATTAAATAATAATGTTAGACCCCGCACGAAATTTTTTCCAGTTATGGCCTTGTGTTCATGGTAAATTTTTATAATTTAAAATTTTGACGGAACATAGAAAGAAAAAATGTTTATATACAATTTTAACATTAAATTAAATATCCAATGTGATATTTAACTTAGTTTGTTTTTAGTTATTTAACTGATAGAAGGACGAATAAATGACAGTGCTCATTCTTCTAAATTTTTTTTCTCTTTTCTTAGTTTTAATATTTATAAGAGTGTAAAATCTTAATTCGCAAAGGTATGAAGTAAAAAATTGCAAAAAAATTATTAACACTTTTCTGGTAATTTTGTATATTCTTCTTCGATTAATATCTAAAATTCTTCTAGCGATTCTTCTGAAAATTTAATCTTAAGACTATGATTAACATACATAGAAATAAGTTCTATTTATAACGTTAAATTAAAACTGGTACTCAATGACGAAGAAAAGGATTTTGTATCCAATCGTAGTTAACTATATTTAGTCCTGGAATGTATTTCTTAATTAAAATCTACAATGAAATAAAATGTTCTGAAATTATAGATGCCAATGTTGTTGTAATACTATTTGGTATAAATGGAAACATTTCAAGATTGTTTTCTGTTATTTTTCCTTTCCATATGACAATTTTTTTTTTTTTTTTTTGAAAAGCTAAAAGTTTACCAATAAAAGTTAATATATTTTCATCAAGATTTTGGATGTTACTATTAACAATGTCAGTCAAGAAGTCAAAATAGGTTACAACCCGGTTTTGAAACCTGATGTATCTGTGAAAAATTTGAAACCGGGTATATATCGAAAACTTTTGTTAACGATTTTAATATAATTTTAGTTTATTTTCTATTATTTCATCTATTTATTTTTTTTATTACTACTGTAACCTTTTATTAGCCTTAATTTTAATTTTGTTAGTCTTTGTCTATATTATCTGTTGTTATATTAAACATTAATTATTTATGTCAAAGCCATATGTTAATATGCTAATAATAATAATAACCGAAAACTAAAACCCGACAAATATTTGAACCCGGTTTTTACCCGAAGAAAAAATTAAACCCAGTTTCAACACAAAAACCGGGGTTCAGATTAATATTGAAATTACATTTAAACGTTAAACTATGAACAAACTAATCTGATACAAATAAATAAGAAAATAAAGCGTTTATTTTTCCTTTATTTTCAGGGACCGGATATTGATAATAAAATGTGTATTTTTAATTTTTATCTAAATTTCTATCTATTAATGTCGAAGATGTGTGTTAACAGTAATACCTAGAAAATGGTCAATTGACCAAAAAATTATTATATAATCTACTTTGAAATCTTTCTTCAATCATTCTAGAGAGTACTTTAGGAAAAAAAATTACTGGTTTTCGAAAGAAGTCTTAAGAAGATTTTTGGACCTGTGAAGGACAGGGAAACGGGAGAGTAGAAAAAAAAGAAAAAATAAGGAACTGGAAAAGCTTTTCCGGAAAGAAAACATATTAAGCGTAATCAGAAACCGAAAACTTCAATGGACTGGACATGCTATAAGAACCATCTTATAAGGATAATCATGGAAGAGAACCCAGTTAGTAAGAGAACATTGAGGTGAGATGTGATTAGAAAAGCGTGGAGGCCCTGAATTAAGGACGGGACTGGAAAGCAAGAGTGATTAATAGGGAAGGCTGGAGGATTGGATGTATGACGTATAGTCTTGATGGTTTATATAGCCAGTCCTAAGTCTGAAAAATGGGAACGAAAATACTGATTTTGTGAAAAAACCTTAAACATAATTTATATACAAATAAATACATTTAAGTAGGCATATGTACAAAAATATACCCAAACCACAATTCACGTATGAATAAAATGTTGCCGAATCACAATTTACATAAAAAATTTAAAACGGCACGCAATTTACAGCGACCCACCGCAGCGTATTAGTGTACCATGGAGCATTGGTTAAGAACCACTGATCTAATGGTTGGTCGTTACTTCGTGTTAGTATCACAATATACTATGTAAGCAACAATGCCGAATTTCGAGTATTTATCATCAAGGACAAATAAAATGTTAACACCCCATGTCAACCTCTGCCTTAAATTCACAAATAATTTCTAGGTATTTGAATTGATTAGCTTTAAATTTTTCTCTTGGAAATCGTAGAATCATATACATTTTTACATTATAGTTTCTTTTTTTTTGTTCAAATTTAAGATCATATATTAATTTAAAAAATTTTAAATCCAGTGAAGCTTTCTTATTGGCTCCACCTTATTAAATGTATTCCGTATTAGTATATATAGTAGTGTTGTAAAGTATGTATATGTAATTTAGTACATTAATTCTTAATTATAATATTGTACTTTAAAATTGCGTTTAATGCGAGATCATTATGTAATTGGGATAGTGAACTTCGTCGTTGTGTATCCGGATTCTATGGCAATCTACGAAAAATTTGAACATGGAAATAAAGTAAGATATATAAGTAACATGGAAATAAATTAAGTACGCTAGTATACAAATTAATATTTAAGTAGAAAGCAATGCATAATAGCTCAGCCATTTTCGAGGAAATAAAATTTTACATTTATACGATTAATATAATAAAATGGAAAAAAATACCTAATGCATACTTATATATATATATATATATATATATAGTAATTTCTTTACAATTAATAATTTTCTTTACATTACTTCAAAACTTTACGACATTTATTTTGTAAAGGTGCATTTACATTATTGTCCGAACACGAACGAACGTAAGTGAATGCCACCGAATACATCTATACCCGAATTCGTTGATGATTCAGCCATTTACTGTGTTCGGGCTTGATCTCCAGCATTCGCATAAAATTTGCTTTAAAAACCATTATGATTTGAAATATTCAGTTGTGGACACAAAGTCTCGGACACAAGTGAATCAGAAACGACACCGAATATCGTTCAAACTGAACGAGCAATTTCTTCCAATCGAGCGTCACCGAACGAGAAGTTTACACTATCTACTGTATTCGGTACAATTCGTCCGCGTTCAGACGGATAATATAAACTCACCTTAATACCTAAATATTTCATGATAAATGATTACGGCCTGAGTTTTTCCGAGAATATTAAATTATCAATATTGTTTTCTGGACATTAACTTCTGGCCGCGAGTATTTATTTTATTTGAATAATTAAAATTTATTATACTTGTACAGCTAATGAATAATTATATATAGATACTTAGAACTTAAAAGGATGACCTACTACCATATCGGTTCACGCATTTCAAGGACCCCGACTCTGCAACTTCGGTACTCAGGTACTGTTATGAAAAGAGTTGGTAACTATCAAAATATAATTTTTTCAATCAAGGTGTATGAAAAATTAAAAATATTAAATTTATTCCTGTTGATCAAAGGCGGTCGTGGTGATTTTCTTCCTAGGTCCATCATACATAAATGTATTAGGTATTTATTTTTTATATCTTTATTTTTATTAGTTAAAGTGTAAGGTGGTGTATAATTTAGTTGATATAGACATAAAGTGAGACGAAATTATGTTTAGGTGCCTACCTAAAGAATTCACATTAAGAATCATAGCGAATCTATGATGTAAGTTAATTAAGATATTCTATTATAATCTGGTCTAATACCCGAGTTCAAATTTACTCAAAAATTGCATGCAAATGATATAACAATAGTTATTTAAATAATATTAAATGGGTAAATATAAGAATCTTGATTAAGTGTTACGAGTATCTTTTACAAGTTAGTATACTAATAAGCAGGGCTCGAGACTTGTAGCATTTGCATATTTTTTTGTAGTTATTGAAAAGATAGCAGAGTAAGCAATAAATCCATTTCAGACAAAAATGAACTCAATACTAAAAGTTTTTAGTGCATATTTTTGCATATTCTAGAGGTTTTGCTATTTTTTCGACTATTTTGCTATTTATTGCTAATTAATGTAAAAATCAAAAACTCAGTCCTACAAAAATACATATTTCGGCC